GGAAAGAAGAATAAAAAGAAAGGAGGAAAAAGAAGGAAGGTAGAAAATCAAAGAACGTGAAATTGCATATTGGATAGGTTGGATGTGTTTGGGTGTTAACGAAACAGAAAGTAACGAAGTGAGTGTGCACCCAACATTTTCCTTATCAATATTATTATTAATGTAAATTAATTTTTAATTAATTTCTTTTTTGAATCTAACAAAAGTATTAGTGTCAACCATTTAGTTGACTCTCATTCTGACGCAATACTAGCAATACCGAAACTCAAGGTTCACCCAATAACATATACTTAGGGGTGGGCAAAAACCAATTTCGGTTATAATCGAAACCGATTTTAAAATAACCAAAAAATTTTTTCTTCAATTTTGAGAATTGAAATCAAACCAAAGTTTTTATAAACCGATCAGTTTGATTACCAATAGAATAGATTCGGTTTCGATTTTTACTAACTAAATATTAATCAATTATTTTTTTAATAATAAATTATATTTTATCTCATATTTTATCATATTTTGTCATATTTTATCATATTTATCCCAATTTCGGTTTTCAAAAGGCTTATTCTTGATTTTTAATTTTTGAAAGGTTCAACCAAAATTGAACCAAAATGTATTTGATTAATATTAAAACTAAAACAGTAAAAATAAAAACTATTAAAACTAAACCAAATTCTTTTTTTCGGTTTGATTTCTAAGTAACTCGTCAGTTTGGTTTCCAAATGCCCAACCCTACGTATACTTGTGTGAACATATGCATCAACTTGAGTTTACGTAATTGTTTTAATTATCAGTGTCAACCTCTTCTCTTTTGTGTTGATGCAAATGTATTTGTGATACGCTTTTCAATATCAAAATCAACGTCCACATAACTAACGGATTTGTTTTTCTACTTGTGTAAATTTTCGTTCTATCTGCGTCCATATTTTCAAATACAAATGGGGTTACATTCTTGTAGACTTCATCATAATTGACTGCATCTGCTGAGTAATTGAGAATCGGATATTTTGATTGTTGGAAAAACAAAAAGATATCAAGAAATCTAAAAATGGTACAACTTATAAGAAAAATAAAAGGGCTCTAAGCTTGACCATCTTTGCTAACTCATAGCTTCAGGGAATAGGACAGAAAAACAACAGCTACCCACACAATACAGAAATGACACATCTCTGCTGCAGTCTGTCACTTTTTCCACTTCCTAAAATGTCAGCTTCCTTCTATTTGCTTGTGGAGTATAAATAATGTCTTCCTTTAAGTTAGCGCGTGTGTTCACGCTCCTAAACGCGCGTAAGAATGTATTTCCTATCTAGCCTAGGAAAACCAAAATGAAAAAGGGAAGGGGATAGATAGGGATGGTGAAAGGGAGATCACAGCTTGCTAGAAAAAAAAAATGGAAAGGACAATAAGAGGAAGGAAGAAATACTGGGTTTCCAATTTTTTGTTAGAGAAGATTCAGAACAACTTGCCTTCTCTGCTGTACATACACCCCATTCTCCTCCTCATCAAACTTTCCACTTCTTCTCCCACAAACTTAAAAAATACTCACCTCACTTTACCGGGCCTCCATTTCCTTTTCATATATATATACCTTCATCACCTCCATAGAAACATAAATATAGTATTTGATAATATATCACAAGAAAGAGAGAGAATAATGGGGGGAGGCAGA